CTAGCTTTTGCTATCCGTTCTCCCATTTCCTTTTTTATTAAAGCATTCTAAGAGAACAGTTTACATCTGCTGTCTTAGTGTTATGGTGCCTTGTCCTCTCCTCCCTCTACTGCTGCTGGCTTCTGCTCTTCACCACTCCAGTAAATCTTGTGTGTCAGAAAGACCTGGTGGTGATAAAAACCAATAAATCTCTCTTCATTTACCTGATTTCTCTCGTGGCACTTGGTAATTCTGTCTTTCTCTATCTCTGTCTCTCTCTGATGATGAGATGGACAATGGGAGGTTTTTAAAAGGCCTGTGGGACTCTCTTGTCTTTACTGAAACTGTCTGTCTGTCTCGTCCTGAAACCATCATCTCCCTTGACTGCTAGTAAATCCATATTCTTTCTTCTACTCTGACACCACCAACCTGCCCTGGATTCAGTTCCTTTGCCAAATTTTAAAATATAGGCATTTCATAAGGTTTTGTCTTGACTTTTTCTGTTTTTTTTTTTTTTGTTGTTGTTGTTGTTGTTTGTTTGTTTTTGCCATGCTTTGCCTTTAAAGCTGACCTGTACCAAAACTAAACTGATTTTACATGACTCTGCCAACACTCATTACCATATACAAATGCACACACATGGGCTTCCACCTATGTTCCTTACTTTTTGTTACTGGAATCTAGATACCCCAGTTAAAAAAAAAATGGAATTTTCCAATTTTCCCTGTCTTATATTTTTACATCTTGTAAATTACCAAGATACATTCATTCTGTCTCCCAAATCCTTCTTAACTCACCTTTCTCTCTAGCATAGTCCTAGCCCTTATTGTTTTCCACCAGGTCTATTGTGTTCATCTGATAACTCATGTCCCAGTGTCTGCTCTGGTCACTCATTGTCTACCCTTGTTGTTGCCACCAGTTGCCTAACACATGCTTCTTACCATTTTATCACCTCTGCTACCCAGCTACCCTTGATCTCTGCACCTCCAGATAGAGCCCAGAGTCCTGCCTTCCCTCACATGGCCCGCACCCTCATAGTGAATGTCCCTGCTAGTATGCAAGTCTTAACATTTCCCTCAAAAGGCCTTGCTATGTTATTCTTTTGTGCTTTATTGCTGTTGTTATTTTATTTTCTTTTTCCTGAAGTATTCTTTGTTTCTCTCTATCCCCCTTACACGTCTCATGAGTTGTTCAAAACCTGTGTCCCTTTTCTCTGCCCTGTGATCTTCTCATCTCCCACTCTGACCCCCCAGCAGAGTTAATAACGTCTTTTCTTTTTCCTTTTCTCCCTCTGTGTGGGTTTCCATTGCTGCTGTCAGGCTATTATATTTTGTTGTGTATCCTGTCTCAGGTGGTGTGAGTGTTTAAGGGCAAGGCTCATTGTGCCCCCAACATTTAGCAGAATCCCTGAAATGTTGTTAGTACTTAGTAAATGTTGGTTAAATTACATATAATTGAACTGAGTATGGCTTCAGGTATGGTTTTGTAGGGGAAATGAATTCAAAATAAGATTCTTAGTGTCCTTGTTTCAAAAATGTGGTTTGGTTACTTGGTGGAATCTAGCTCTGACTCTGTTAGGCAGAAGAACTTGGAAAAAATAAAATGCCTGCCAACTTAGAGTATTAGAATTGAAGCAATTGAAAGGTTTTCTGAGGTCCCTCCTAAGACATTCATATTTCACTTTATATCTTGCTGGTCAAACTTTATACACATTACTAAATTTCTCAAAGTTGGTTGTTTTTATTTTGAATATTTTCCTATAGGGACAATGCTCCACTTTGTATCAGTTAGGGTACACTATAAAGACAGGGAAAACACAATAATTGAACATGGAATGCTTAATATAAACAATAACAAATTGTTTACTATGGGTAAATAAAACTCTAAAGAATATAGGAGTAGCAGAAATAGGGAGCCAAGTACCCAAAAAGGCACCACCCCCTCCACCCAGGGCTGGGATCCAGACCTCATTGGCGAACGTGTGTCATACTGCATGGCAGAGAAGTTCACCAAAGTGTTATAGTGAGACTTGCAGGGAATTGATGTTCTGGAGTTCTAGGGGGAAGCTGTCCACAGGGAGGTGCCACACTGCAGAACTCACTGGGAATCTGCCAGTGGGGACGGTGCACCAGAAGGCCATTCTCTGGGGTCTGGAGAAATGCTGCCCATGGTTGATGCCATGTGCCTTCAGGTAAGAAGAGAACCAGGAAGAAGACCCCCTTTTCTTCTAGTGTACGTCCTCTGGCACCCTCTATCAACATTGCTTAGAGTTGTGTTAGCCGACATAGGTAGGGCAATGGAAAGGTAGAACTGGAGCTGAAAAGCAACAGATTGACAACTGGCAAAGTCCATCCGTTTAACTACTGAGTTTCCCTGTGTTCCAACTTGAGTTACGACTATCGCCGAAATTAGGGTACAAATAGACCAAAAAACGTGTATATGTAATGTATAAGATCATATGTATAAATACTTTTAATATTTGTGAATATAATTTCAAATTGCATATAAATAATTCTTATGCAGCTTATAAATATCTAATTTATTTATGCTAAATGTCACTGCTCAGTGAGAGTGATTAGATGAGGTTGAGAAGGGAGATGGAGACCTGTCTTTGAGTTCTGAAGTAGTTCTTGTCATTCTTAGACAAAACATATTGTTAAACATCTCTATTTCATTGTCTTTGATATAGAAATATTTAAAGCACTATTCCTATACCTGTCACTTAAGAATGAATTTGTTTTGCCTTAAAAACATAAAAAATAAAACAGGGAGGCTTTTCAATAATAAGTAATTGAGCTAGAGCTGGTAAAGAAAGAGGAAGCTGGCAAAGAGTTATACACACAGAGGGTCCCTGATTTATGACAGTTCTGCTTATGGTTTTTCAGCTGCCATGGTAAAAAAGTGATATACACTCACTGGAAACCACATTTCGAGTGCCTATACAGCTGTTCTGCTTTTCATACTCAGTATAATATTTGACAAATTACACGAGATGTTCAATACTTTGTCATAAGGTAAACTTTGCATTAGATGATTTTGCCCAACTGTGGGCTAATGTAAGTGTTTTGAGCATGTTTCAGGTAGGTTAGGTGTATTAAATGCACTTCTGACATGATACTTTTAACTTAAGACAGGTTTATTGGGACATAACCTCACTGTAGTTTGAAGAGCATCTTATTTAACAACGCAGAATTTACTACCACTGTTTCAGTACATAAGTCAGTCAACCAAAATATTTGAGTTCCAGAAATCTTGTTGGCATTGAGCAAAGATAGGAAACAAGGAAAACAGTTTGTGTGAGTGATTTTAAGAGGGAGAACTAAAGTGGTGGGAGAAGGCTTGGGGTCAGATAGTTGAGCTTGCCTGTCAGTGGTTCAAGTGAGTCCACTTTGACTGTATCAAGCAGGTGTGCTTCCTGCCCCGTGCAGGCAGGAATTGTAGTGTGGTGCAAGCAGTGTGGTCATAACTTGGGAGTACTTTAGTATAATGAGTCAGTTCTTAGGGTAGCAGTTAAGGCCAGGCGTGGTGGCTCATGCCAGTAATCTTAGCACTTTGGAAGGCCAAAGCAAGAGGCTTGAGCCTAGGAGTTTGAGACCAGCCTGGGCCACATAGTGAGATCCCATATCTACAAAAATAATACAAAAACTAGCCAGGCATGATGGTGTGTGTTTGCAAGTCCCAGCTACCTGGGGGGGGCTGAGGTGGGAGGATAGCTTGAGCCTGGGATGTCAAGACTGTAGTGAGCTGTGATTATGTTACTGGGCTACAGCCTAGGCCAAAGAGTGAGACCCTGTCTCAAAAAAAAAAAAAAAAAAGGAAAAAGAAAAAGTTGACATGAATTTCTGTTCTGTAAGCTCAATAACAGCATATAATGTATGGAAGTGGTATTAAACTGTCCTGCAGGCTCTTCTGGGAGAGTCTTTTGACATTATAGAAAGAGGAAAGCAAGAATAAAAGCAGCCTTATATGACCCATAGAGGATTCTTAGGAATATTGACAACATAATAGATGTTTAATGAATCTTAACTGATACTTAGATTTATAACCTAGCAGAATGAAGAGATTTAAGGCCAACTCGTGTCTCTTTCCAATTATAACTTTATTATTGTACTTACCTTTACCCAACTCTTGCTACCTGTCTCATGAACATGTTACTCTATTGTTGTCATTGTTTTTATTTTATTTCTTTTCCAGTAGTAGTGGACAATTAGAAGTCACTTAGAGGTATTGCTTTTCAAGCCTCTATTCTTCCTAGTTATGATAAGTGTGTGAAAGTTGGGGAGGTGATAAAATCAGGGATGGGGACAGGTATATTCTAACCGCCCCCCCACAGCTGTTGGGCAATTTTGAGTAAAAATAACTTATGATAAATATTAACTTGGATACTAGACTTACCCTACTATTGGTCTTCAAGTCCACATTCAAATGATAGAGGATCCTCTCCCTGCTGAAAAACCAGCTAGAACTCTCAGACACAGGTAGGGATGTTGGGTTCATATCTGCAGTTGCTTTCCTAATCATCTTTTTTCTTTTTTGGCTTATAAGCAATGATCATTTATTTCTCATAGTTCCAGAGGCTTAGGCAGTACAAAATCAGGGCGTTAGCAGATTTGGTGTCTGTGAGGACCTTCTTCCTGATTCATAGACAGCTGTCCTTTCACTCTGTCCACATGTGGTGGGTGGAAGGCATGAGAGAGTTCTGGTATCTGTGTGTAAGAGCATGAATCACATTTATAAGGATGCCACTCCAAAGGATTCAATTGTAGAGGTGGCAGACATACAGGGTCAAAGCAAACCATCTTATAGGTTATTTTTTTACTGTATACTGTGTCTCCTAAACATTTTAACATTTTAGAGAGATTTGGGGCCACCATTATATTAATTACCATGTATTATAAAACATTTTGAATCATTGTGGAATATTTGGCTGAAATATTTGTAGAAGCTCTGGCTGGATTGCTGAAAGCAAGTGGTGTTAGTGTTCACACCTAATTGTAAATGGATTTTGTTTTGTTTTTCAGGTTTTTCTAAAGAGTGACCGAGTGGCCAGAATGGTTCAGAGTGGAGGGTGCTCTGCTAATGACTTCAGAGAAGTGTTTAAGAAAAACATAGAAAAACGTGTGCGGAGTTTGCCAGAAATAGACGGCTTGAGCAAAGAGACGGTCTTGAGCTCATGGATAGCCAAATATGATGCCATTTACAGGGGTGAAGAGGACTTGTGCAAACAGCCAAATAGGATGGCCCTGAGTGCAGTGTCTGAACTTATTCTGAGCAAGGAACAACTCTATGAAATGTTTCAGCAGATTCTGGGTATTAAAAAACTAGAACATCAGCTCCTTTATAATGCATGTCAGGTAAGTGGTCTATATTTTCCATTCCCCTGTCTGACTCCTGAAATGAACATGAAGTATTTACAAGCCTATGAAGTTGTACTTTACTTGCTATGATCACTTTACTGGGAAAATTGAGCAAAATTGAATTTTAGTAAATCACATAGTGATATGTGAGAGAAGTTTTGAAAGAAGTATTTGATAAGAATTTCAGTACTTCTTATCCAGTAAATAATTATCCCCTTGTGCCCTATATTAAGACGTCAGATCTGTGCCTTGGATATATGTGGACCATACCCTGTAGAGTAAAATGAAAATCATCTCCTATCTGAAGAAGCTTGACAATTTATAAAAAATAGGCATTTCTCACTGTAAAATAATCTTTTATAAATATATGATGCTGGTCTTCTGAGTTTCATGGAAATAATGAAATTTCAAATTGTTTAACTCACCCAGATAGAAATAAACTGTGGATGATTGTTGAACTACGTAATTTAAAGAGGTGACAGAGTTAATATTATATTTTCTCTTCAGTTGTTATTCTAGTCATACATATAAAATTGGGATAAAGGCAGGGCACAGTGGCTCACACCTGTAATCCCAGCACTTTGGGCATTGAGGCGGGTGGATCATGAGGTCAAGAGATGGAGACCATCCTGTCCAACATGGTGAAACCCCATTTCTACTAAAAATACAAAAATTAGCTGGGTGTGGTGG